TTTTCCCCGTGCTTCAAGATTTTTAGAATAAGTAATCTAGCAATTTATTGCATGTCCAAATTTAAGAATCGAATCAGTACTATTCTATAAACTAAAATATCAAATTAATAGTTTATGCCAAAAAGGAAAAATTACCAAATACATACCGTATACTTCATACTATTTTATAAGTAAAATCGAAAGTAATCATTTCAAACTTCCATATTCATCTTAGAAATAATATTTTGAATAATTAAAAGTGCTTACTCACGTGTTTGGGACAATATGCCATTTTATTTCAACGGAAATAGTGAATCGACAAAATCGCGTATCGATCCCAGCGTCGACTGTTTTTCATATAAATTATTATTTTGGGTAATCCGATGCCCTTAAATTCAAAGGAAAACCATTTTGGAGTTATTTCTTCTTAAAAAAAGTAATTTGCGGAAGTATCAAACATTTGCTGCACATTAACATCATGAACTGTAAAAGGAGAGTTTAAAATTATCCTTATCACTTTTTGAGAAGAACTTAAATAATATTTTTAAGAAATGTAATTATTTCTGAAGTTGGTCCCTATTTCGACTGATACAATAAAGTTCTAAATAACTCTCTATCTTCTTTTTATATTATTATCTATTGATTATTCTTTGTATTGAACAATTATTTTTCTGAATTCAGTAGAAATTCAGAAATGTTCTAAATTATTTATTTGCAAACAATATAAAGTAACATTTTGATATAAAAATTTTGCTTTTCGAATTGTGCTTATTACCAGTATAGTGTCAACCAGGGCAAGAAAATTTTGGTTTGGGTCTTATAATAAATTCGATAATAGATTCTGAAGATCTGCTTTTATATTATGTTTCTGTATCGACTTTGGGTACAAAACATATTCGGTGATATAATTGACCATAATTGGGTATCACGGAAGGAATGTGATTCACCAGGCTTATGATTAAGCCCACGAAACCTTTTACAATTAAACACGAACAAAGGAGTTAAATGTCTCAGTTCTAGCCAATAAAGGAGGAAAAGTCGCATTTTCTGGCTAAATTATAAATTGAATCCACAAAACAGATAATTTTATTATGGATGATTAAAAATATGACTTTGAAAACACAGATAGTTGTTTTTATATTTTATGCTTGCATTAAGGAGATTTATTAGCTTTTAAAAAACAGTACCTATAGCTGATAATAGCTGATATCAATGTCATCAGTTGTTTCCTATGATGAAAAGTAATAAATCTAAGTATAAAACCATATTGTAAAAGAAATTCTGTTATATTACGGAAACCAAAATACGTGGACAGAAATTTCCCGTAACGAAACACTATTGAAAATATTTGTACGTCTGATTCAGTTTATCAAATTATTTGTTGTTGCTTTGATACCAAAGTTTTCCATATTTAAAACTGAAAAAATCTGTACCCAACAAACACATTCTGTATAAATTATTGCAGATTTTATTTGTTAACAGAAAAACGTCTTTTTTGACAGATTGCGATGAAGTTTAGCAGTAAATTTCTGTAGTTTTAGAGAAAAAAAATTTTCAGTAGGAAAGTTACAGAATTATTATGTTTGTTTAACAGAAATTTTTTGCAATGCAGGCTTACGGATGAAATTCTGAAAAATACTCAACGCATGGGTATTACTGAGATTATTTTCAAGTATTTGAAGCTTAATCTTCTCTCAAGCTCAGTCTTATTATTTTTATCCATTATACATTATAAACACATAAAATAAAACAGAAGGCATCGTTATATTTTCCCAACTTATCTATGGTTCACGATCTTTTATTTTTTTTTACTCTTAAACTTTTGAAAGGTTGTTTATACGTGTTTAAGATACAAAAAAATTCGTAAGGAATTTTTTGATTTTATAAAATGCAAACGGATATCCTATGCGTGCACAAGCTTTTTTTCGAATCAGTATTTCCTAAAATATGTATTTATTTCAAAAATATACATCAAAAATATATATATAAGTTTTAAACTGAATTTTTTGAATACGTTATCTGATTTATTCTGTTAAAAATATGTAATACCCTTTTTTAACTTCTAAAACTTACCACATTTAACGGAAAATTTCCATTTTAGCTTATCCAAAACTGAATTACGTTTTATGCATAAAACCCGCTCTAACTCGTTTGCAATCTCGCAGTATTAGAGTAAGCTTTTAATTGTTCTTCTAATTTTTCTCTTTAAATAAGACACTAAAATTAAACTGAAGTTTTAAGCATCCATATCTAGTGCAGAATAGCCGGGTGAAACTGAATGCGTTTTGAAACTCTAAATCTTCCTTCTCACTTTCAGAAAGAATAATGTGAGAAAGAGAAAGTTGCAAGACTTTTGGAGAAAACTAATTTAAATTTAAAAGCTCAAAGAATTTTTACTGTCATTTCTAATTTTCTCTAATCCAAAACCTCATTCTAAAGAAAGCTACTAATTTATTTCTAATTTTATTTTGCAGTTTTTTCAACTCTTTTAAAGTTTTAACAAAGAGTTTTTTTTCTTATGCTTTATTAAAATAAATAATCAATGCTGGACCAGTAGTCACACGAAAAAGAGGCTGGCCGAATTTGAGATGGATAGATGGCCGAGAAAAAGTCCTTTTGGTCTTAAAAACTAAAAACTGGAAGAAGCTTGCAGGGAAACAGTTAGCATGAAAAAAACTTCTTGAGATGGCCGAGGCCCACCCTGTACTGTCGGGTCATTGATGATGATGATTATGAAAATAATTAAAAGAGAATACCAAAGCTTTTGGTTATACTGGTTTGAATGATTATAATATTTTCGGGATTCTAAAGTTTTTTGGGCAGAATCCAAAACATTCTTTGATGTTTGAGAACCAGAAATTATTAATGGTCAGTTAAAGTTCATATTTCCTACTAATAAAATTCAACTGCATCATTATTTAAGTAGAAAATAAATGAAAATTATAAACTGTATTAAGTAGATGTATAATAAAAAGTGGTTTTGTAAAATGTGATAAATTTGCTTAATGTGGTAAAATGTGGTAATTTTATCATGATACCTTAAAGCATGGAAAAAAAAAATTATTCTTGATAAATGTGTGATGTGGTAGTAAGAAACGCCATAGTTTTGAAAACCAGAATTTCTGGTAAACCGTTACTGTATGAACGAAAAAATTATTAAATGACATATATTTCGGTTTTATTTAGCAAAACTTTTTTTTTAGCCAGATGTCATTACCATATAGTAAGGTAATTTTTCAGGTTTTTTTTTCTCCGTGTACTACTGAAATGATCACATATTTGCTTATATGACCGTATTTGGGTTTTTTGTCACGTTGTTTAAATTACAGTGCTGCTCCTAAGACTTATATCATGTTAAAAATAATTGTGTTACTTTACATTTATTAGATTATTAATTTTTATATTATTAATTATTATATTATTAATTATTTTATTATTAATTATTTTATTATTAATTATTATATTATTAATTATTTATTATTAATTATTAGATTATTAATTATTATATTATTAATATTGATACATTTTTCGTACTTGATCAGAGAAGGTGATCCTTGTAATTAAGTTTTATAAGTAATAATACTTTCTAGGTCATACTAAAAGAATTTAAACGCAACTAGAGAAAATAAACGAAATATTTACACAGAAATTCGTAAGAATGAATCAATGTTGAATGGCGAGAATGTGTGATAATATAAATGGCTAATTCCATTAGAAAAAGAAAACAAGCATTTATATGGTTATGCATAGCGAATATTCTGTGGAAGATATTGAACATCGAAAAAAGATGCATTTTGTTCCTTTAAGTTATTGAGAAAATAATTTTAATTAAGTTATGATCATTATTTTGATACTATTCAAGTGTAATCGTTCTTTTCAAATCTTTTAAAAGGTATGATTTATGGAAAGCTATCATGGTAAAAATATTCATATAAATGTTATGATATTTAAAATTCATTGCATATAAATGTTTTAAAAGACAAACAGTTTGATGCAAAAGTATCATGGTAAGAAAATAATAATCTGTAAATACACTGAGTATACAATTTAGCAGGAATTTTGAAGTGCCCTCGGGTGAATTTTTTTTAAACAATACTTGCATTATATTATGCTGGTTAATTCCGTTGTATCATTTTAAAAAGTATATGAAAATGCTCTAAAATATCTCCTTAGTCCTGTGTTAGAACTTTATTAAATATGTGTAAAACATGTTTTTGTTCGTTTACATAACTGAAAATATTATTAATTTCATTAAAAAATACAAAAATATCATATTTTCCCTTTTTATTATTTTTTAAGAAAATTATAAATTATTTTCTCAAAAAATGTTTTACGAATTTCCTGAAAAGAAATTAAAGTAAAATGACTAATATCACAACAGTTATGCAGTTATACTTTATAAAGTTAGAGTTACATCGATTAATAATTTGGAGCAAGAAAGAATGATTATGCAAAAGAGAACCTTCATAATATCCGTAAATTTAGTCATAGTAAAATTCTCAACGGGAAAAACGAAACAAAGTCTTATCTAGCTTCTAATGGTGATAAAAAAGTTAGTTTATTCACAATTTGAAAGAAATTTGAGTTATTTTTATGCAATAAAAAACTCATGATTTTTAATATTGCTTTCAACCCGAGTTTCCTTAACTGGTCAATCATCGTTACCACTTAGATGATTTGTGTATAAGAATCCGCAGCGTTGTGATTTCTGAATAGTATAATCGAAATACAAAAGGCTTAAAAAACATATATTTATAATTTCAGGGCAGCAAAGAAAAGAGATCTTAGTCATTACCATAAAGTAACAAAATAAAAATTTGAGGCTAAACATTATGCTTTTACAAATTACTACTTTTTAATTAAATGGACTGCCAGAAAAAAGATTATGTTCTTTACAGAGGAAGAAGATATTGTCCATGATCCTTCCTTCGTTCCTCATATGTTTAGGAATCTTTACCCACCCACTTTTAATCACCATAAGTTAAAAGAAAAGTGTTTGAAAGTTAGAAATAAAAACTTACAAGTTCATCGTTAATGTACCATCGTAAGGTGGCTGCAGGTTTTGACTTGGCAGATGTACAGTTTACAATTACAGTGTCACCTATACGATATTCTTGATTGCCTCCAGTTAGTGTAGGTCCTTCTGATGGCAAAACTGGAAAAAATGAGCAAAAACATTCGACCCATTATGGAGTCTTTTATTACAGAATATACAATATAACACATGGTATGCTAAAATTTAAAAGGGCGTGGTACTCTCGAAAATCAATTTTTACGAATATATATTTAATCTCTTCTGACTTTGAAAAACTACTTACAGCAGTTTGAGGCTATGCTTTTTCTGGTAAGTTTAAATTAACCTCAATAACAACAAATAAAGAAGAGTGTAAACAAACATTATTGACATTCTGATTTACCGAGCACTGAAAACCACTGATTTTAGCCTATTCTACTTAACCTAGTATCAGTATCACCAATGATATCATTTAATTATTGCTATGGAATTCTTAAGAACTTATAGAAATTTGAAAAATGAGCTATTTCCTAATTCATGCTAAAAAAACTGAGTGTTTCAAATTAGAAGATCTTGGTATAGAAATTTCTCATTAATACACAAATTTCTCTTCTAATAACCTGTAATTTTCTCTTAAAAAAATCTGCATTTTTTCCCTAGAAAAATGGCGTTTATAGGCATAAAAAGTTCTCAATTGATTAGTAAGAAAAATGTTTAACCCAGTTACCTTAATGCTTACTTTTTTATTAAAAAAATGCAAATAACAAATAAATTAAAAGCTCTAAACACATCGTTTTAAATTTTCAAAAGGTTTATATTCATTTACAGTTTTCAAAATTTTCAAAAAAGACTAATAATCATAACAATAACATTCTATCAATTAAAAATCTGATTAATTTTATTATATTAAATACAATTACTTTTTTTTCAACATACCTGTATGAGACTGGGAGTAATATAAAATAAATTATGATGTAGCAAATGTGATGATTATCATGATAATGGTTAACACATAAAAAATTTCAATTCCTTGGGTTATACTTACCCAATGATAAATACTTGCATATAATTTGAGATTGAAAAATAAAAAAACATAAAACTGCACTTACTCATAATTTGTTTCATTCTGGACTGGTATTACTTACAAAAATTAACTCAGTTTTGAACTTACCTTTATTAGGAACAGCTAAATCTCATCACTACTATCATTATAAAAATACTTAATTATTATCGATTATTTATCTATTTTGAATAAATATCTATTGATATTTGATATTTATTACTTTACTTTAATATATGATATTACTATTTTAACCGTATATCTAATCATGAAATACTAGAATTTCGATATTCTATCATAAAAAAATTTTTCATTAACCAAATATTGCCAAAATACTTTTTTATTATAACATGCATAGTTAAATATAAGAAAAAAACATTTATTTTTTAAACGCATCATTAAAAATTAAAAAAAAATTACCTATTTTGAAAAAAAGGAGTTATACGATATTTTTTTTTCACATTAAACAGTCCACAAAGAAATAACTAAGAATGACACTAAATTGTAATATGTTCAATAAATATATTTATAAATTCTTAATAAATTTATAAAAAGTTCACATAAAATGTTTCTTTATTTATTACCGTAGTCCCGCAGTGAACTGATCGTTAAGAAACGGTTACTAGCAGATCACTGAAGTCAAGCATCACTGGCTATAGTCAGTGAGCGGGTGGGTGACCATTTGGATCAGTTTGCATAGGGACCGAGGGTGGGCGGTATTGGTCCTCGTTAAACTGTTCTACCTTAAAGTGCTCGACTTCGCGTGCAGGTCGTCGGGCTAATTAAGCGGGGGTGCCATCCCCTCTGCAGAGGATCAAAATTGTGATGGCATGTCTTCGGATCATCCTCAGGGATGTTTCCCAGACCGTCGCCAATAGCCCATTGTGNCTCGATTACCATAAGAAAGAGAACATATTTTCATCACTAAATTATAAGGTTTTCTAATCCTGTAAAACGCAATTAAAATTTGCAGCACTTCGTTCTTGGAAGTTTTTATTTTACAGTCAAAAGAGCTTTTGTTTCTGGAGCACGAGTTTAAATTTATGACGTCGTAATGGTTGTCGGTTTAGAAACATTAATTCTTTCTTTTTTTTCCATTTCCAATGTGCATAGTGACGCATCCCCCTCTAAGATAAAATTAAAGGAAGATTTCGTGAATCTGCAACGAAATAAGTTCAAATACATTTTTACAAAAAGCGTAGAAAGTTGCCAGCCCTGCATAGCCAGACACCATAACGGTAAAAGTTAGAATGTATCTAACTTGTGTACAGAAATTTTAGCAGATAAAAATTATACACACAAAAAAAAATTTGCAAAAAATGTGTTATTTCAATTTTAGAAAAAATTGTATACCCTTTAAAATAATGGAATAATTGAAAGCTAAGAAATGGGAAAAATTGCTTTGCATTCTATAAACAAGCACCTTGAGTTTTCGGGAATTAAGAGTTAATTTTTTTTTAAATGTTTCTTTTTAAAATTCTTTATTTTTCAAAATTCTACTAAAAAGCATTAATTAGAATTTCTAGCTAAAAAGCATTAATTGGAATTTCTGAAAGTCAACATTTGATAGAGAATTTTTAACTAAAAATCATTAATTAGAATTTCTGAAAGTCATCATATGCAGATATATGCACTTTGCTTAAATATCTGCAAATTGGCAAACAAATTTTGCTAAGGGTCAAAAACAAATAGTAATTAAGTAAGTTTAGGAATTAAAAATTATTTTTCTGTTTTACCTCTCAGTGGTGAAACAGAAAACTCAGTGGACTGATTGTTAAGAAACGGTTCCCAGCAGATCACCGAAGTCAAGCATCACTGGCTATAGTCAGTGCGTGGGTGGGTGACCACTTGGATCAGTTTGCATAAATTCCAAGGGTGGGCGGTATTGGTCCTCGTTAAACTGTTCTACCGTAATGTGCTCGACTTCGCGTGCAGGTCGTCGGGCTACCGAAGCGGGGGTGCCATCCCCTCTGCAGAGGATCAAAATTGTGATGGCATGTCTTCGGATCATCCTCAGTTATGCTTCCCAGACCGTCACCAATAGCCCATTGAGCAGCTCTAGTGCCGGGTAAATGAACTACAATAATTTACTACCGGCAAAGTTGAATATCTTTAGTAAGATATTCTTATAGACAGCAGCTCAATGCTGTAATAAAACTTGATTTTTTTTATCCCAAATGGACCAAAAAATCATAATATTATGAATGATTTATGATAATGTTACTCAACGTACTTCCCCATAATGTTTAATAACCATTTAACTGATCTCTTCAATAAATAAATGTTAAGATTTATTGAATCTATATTGAAAACCTATAATGACAGTTTGCTTTGAAATCAGCTATTGAAACTTCATGCAGCATTATTCAATTTGTATAGGTCAAAAATCTCAAGTAAACTTAGTGAAAATAAATTAAAGTGCAAAACTCAGTATCAAACAGAATATTAGTTGAAGAAATGTAGACTAATAGTTCAAGAGCCAGAAGTGGCTATGTCCTTAATCAAAATGTTATAACGAACTCATTAAACGAAATCAAAGTTCACTAGGATTCCTCGGAATCTTAAAATTCCTATTTGCTGTTATGCTCATTGTCAATTTCGTGTGTCTATTTCTTCGTAGTTAATTAAGAACATCATGAAGTGGATATTTTTTATATCCGTAGTTAAACAGCAGTTCCGATTTTTGGGTTTATGACTACCAATATTCATCTCCGTATCTTTGTAATTTTGAACCCAATCCAGAAGACAAGAGATCTCCTGGATCAAGTATTGAGAGACAATTTGCTTTCGTGGAGGACTTTTGAGATGGAACTAACCCTTATTTGTGTTACATGGAGAGGGAAACATCGAAAACCTTTCACAGTAATCCTGACGGCAAGGGGACTCTAACCCATGATCCGTATGTCACTGAGGATATTTTAAGTCAGCACTGTGGTTGGTGCAAGCCGGATGCGGAATTTGTATCGACCAGCTGAGATTCAAACCCGGTTCACCTCATTGGAAGGCGAAGGCTCTATCCTCTGAGCCATGACGGCTCAAAAGTGGATATTGAAAAAGAAGTCATTTGTTCTTTGCTTTGAAGGTATACGATATAATTTCCTAACCTTCTTGGAATCGGTACTCCCAATTCATATGTTTACATTTCAACTTCTTAAATTTTTCTTTCAAGATGTAATTCATGCTGTGCTTTGCACAGTTTTCTGTGTTATGTTTGTAATCTATCAGTACCCCCTGGATGCCCCTTGGTGGGGGCGGAACAGGGCTCAATGATGATAATAATAATTTTTTCTTGCATAAACTAGTTATTACCATCTGTAAAATCGCAGATTTTACAGCTTGTTGATTTCAAGTTTATTTTACAAACAAAGTGGCTTCAAGTTTGATTGCATTTCAACATTTTTATAACTATCGCGGCAAAAATTTCACGATTAATTGAAAACATTTCAATTCTAATACAATATCTTAAATCATATCCTAGATAGAAGTGTAAGATTGACTTAAATGTCAGCAATAACCTTTATCATAAAGATCGATAAGGTTTGTGAATTATTTCAAATAAGCGATGCAAGCCTGAAAAAATGATAAATTTAACTATGCTAGTTTACACGCTATGAGGTTTACATCAAGCTTGCATAAACAACATTTTATTTACTGATTGAATCTGCCTTTGCAAAGCAAGGCTATTAAAACCTTCTAAAAACGAGAATGATCCACCATTCGCAAATCAAGAGTAGAAGCGTTCTCAAACCGATCGAGGATTAATTCAGCTTCTCAGGGTTTATTTTAGAATTTATGATCATCAATGAAACAAGTTTACTTGCACCGGCTTTTATATACTTTCTTTAACACTAAAGAAGTGAAAGTAGGCCTGATCATTAAGTTTTCAATAGAAGCAAAATATTGCGCTTAAGAGCCAATGCAAAGCTGCAATAAAAAAAAAGGGAGAAATCAAGGTTTACTGGAGAAAGATTTTTTTTAAGTTTTTTTAATGTCTTTATTCTGTCTTTAATAAAACAAGCTTAGCAAACTAATATTTCTACTCAGTGAAAAAAATAGTTAATTAGTCAACTTTTCCAGGCCAACCAAATGAAAATGCAATGTTTCCCGCAAGCATGCCTGATAACTGGGATATTTTCTTAACGTATCCGACTAGCTTTGACAACTTTTCTTTATATATTATCATATTTTTAAAAAAAATTATCTTATTTGTTTTATTATGTGTAAAAAGAAAAAAAAATGTTTTTTATTTTTTTCTGTAATTGGCCATTTTTAGGTAAAAATAAGGCATTTTTTTACATATACGCTTAACTCCGTCAAAAATTTCTGTAGCCTAAAACAAAAATAATTTGAAGATTTTATTTAGAAGGCCTTCAATTATATTTTGAACTATTATTTTAAAAGCTAATGCATATACTGCAAAATTAGGGATCAATGTACTTAAAAAATCTTATTTTCGCACATTTCTTTGCGAAAAAACATGCATGAAAATGAAATTCTACATTTTCCCCTTAGTCTGTAGCTCAAAACATGTGTGCTCTAATCATAAACACTCATGAAATTCTACAGATAATTATTCTAAAAACAACATGGGAAATCGTGTTTGATATCGTGTATTGTACTTTAAGATAAATGCATTTAAAGACTTAAGATGATAAGTCTATCCACTGTTATCACTTTTCACGAAAACAGCTATAATTTAGTAAATAATTGGAGTACAAGCAAAGGTTGAGTATTTTTAGATAGCTAAGAGTACAGGAATGCAAAATTTATAATAAATTGAAAAATTTAGCCCAAAATCCAGCTTTTGCTCTAGTCATGCTCAATATCATGTTTGTTTTTGTGTTAGTTTTGCACGCTAACCAGATTTAATTTGACAAAAAACGCATACATATGCTATCTATGGTAAAAGCATATGTATGCTATCTGTGCTAAAATCATAAAAAAAACCCATCATGACTAAGGAGTGACACTCCCGATATCATCTGCGCTAAACTATTCAAATAGTGTAAATTTCTTTAGTGGACTGTAGACTATAGACTAATTTAAATAATTATTTTAATATTATTGCGTGTAATTAAAGTAAAAAGAATTGTGTACTTACCATAAACTTTCATTTCTTTTTCAGCTTCAGCAGTATCGAAGGACGGGGCTTCGGCTGAAATTTCACATCGGTATAATCCACCTGAATTCAGATCCACATGACGAAGATAGACGGAGTTTTTTCCAGATTTTGAGAGCTACAAAATACGATATTTGTAATTAAGCTTATATATGTATTTTTCAATAATACAACAAACTATTTTAGGATTACATAGCAATGAAAGATGCTGTCACAAGGAGCCTATAATCTTTATACTCGGAAAAGTTTTTGAGATTTGTAAAAATAAGTATTCTTTCCTAAGTTCAAAATCTAATTTTTCTTAAGCAAAGACCTTTAAATTCCTTAAATGAAGCATTTTATTTCTAATATTTTATTATGTACATAGATGCTGGAACCAGAATTATGTTTAGTTAAAATTAATATATATTCAAAGTAATTTATATATAATTTTTCATACTGTATAGTTTTGATATAACTTTTTGTCACAGATGAACAACTTTTTTATGAAATGATTCCAAAATTTTAATCGTAAATTGCATGAAATAAACGCATTTTTCATAAAAATTTTATGAAAAATTGATTTTTTTTTAATTTATGTAAATATGTAAAAATTTACTTTTAGAATTATATTAAGTAATATTTGTTCAAATTGTTCTTTTTTTAAGGAAATGATTTCTAATTAATTTATTTTAATTGTTGTAGAAATCATTTTTAAATGTTGTAGAGTAAAAAATATTTTTAATAAGTTATAATTAAAATTATATTTTAATTAATTGATAGATTTTGGATAGCGTATGTCTTACGTTAACCGTAACGCTAATCTTATTTTCTGCTCCTCAAAGATATGATTTGCAAGGAAATTTCCACGCATACTTTGGGGATTGCTTGAGTTATTTGAAAGTGTAACGCTTTAAAAAATCTCTCGAACAATTCTGTAATATTTCGTTTTTTTTTAAACTTGGTATAGTAGATAGATTATATATGCATAGATGACACAAAAAACAGGTTTCTAGCATACACAAATTAATAAATAATGATTTAAAGTTATCTACTGCCTCCTTAAGGAATTGTGACTCGCTGTGTAAGTATAAACTTTCAACTAATTCTGTAAGAAAGGCAAATATTATTAGAAAATTTTAGTCGAAGCTGTGTATATTATTTAAAAAAAACATGTAAAGCACATAATATATTTAACAATAATTATTTTTGGATTCAAACAAATGTTACGCGTAATAACATGCTTTATCGTCATTTTAATTATATAAGGATTAACACTTATTGAGGACAGTTTAGAAGTCATTTTATAGCCTGCATACTAGGTGTACTAAATACAAATATTTTTCCTGTTAGTTTTGAATTTAAATTACATTCTATATGCTTCAAATTTAATGTAATTTTTCAAAAAGAAGATCAAATATATTTTAATAGGCAATTATTGTTATGCATGAAAAAGGAAAAGATGATACATCGATTCATGCAATTTATGTTAATGATGCACAATATGCAGTCTTACAACATTATTATATGTTTCAAGTTTTATAAAAAGTTTTATCTCATTTACCGATGCAACGATATCAAATGTATCAGAATTTATATCATATTTATCATCTCATCATATTTAGCAAAATTAAAAACATAAATTCGAGCGCAAAGTTTAAGTATAATTTTCATAACTAAGAAACATTATGTATGTATTCAAAATACCGAAATTTTAATAATAAAAATTAAATTATTAAATTTATATTTACCTTAACACCAGGGGATATGTATTTATAAATTATTAACAAATTGTGACAAAAGATCTTTAATAAGCTCTTAGTTTTAGATCTTTAGGGAATTGTTTTCATTTCGTTAGGGTGATTTTCAATCGCGATTACTCGCAGTGACGAAAGTTAATGTCAGATCGATGCTAGTCACCTCCTTTAGGTCTTCTTCAGCTATAACATTTTGTTCTGTAGCCTCGCGGCCACTGGTCGAGGACAAACTCTGTTAGTGGACGCATAGCAGCAATACAACTATACGAGTCACTAAGACCAGTGTACTCTCATCATTTTCTCAACCTATCCAAATTAGATTCCCCGACCAAAGTCCGCTTTATCGCCAAACTGAATCCTTAACGAGGGTTGTCTTATGCCTCACTACTAGTTCGAACAACATTTCCTTTTCGCCTTTTACCCATGCCCTTATATTGGATTCCCTGATTCTAGAGAAGTGGTTTGTATCTAATTCTTTGAATGGCTTACCACTAATCTAAATTGAGACCGTTACGAAGCATGTATTTTCCTTATGAGGATATGTTCTGACAGAAAGATACCATTTGCCGTTACTACATTATTCACTAGGAAATTCAATTATTTTTATCTCTCCTTGGGAGCATGGTAATTTGTCACTAGTTTTCGAAATATAAAAGTAAATATATTATAATTAGCAGTTCATGTTTATCGAAAGATGAATTGTTCAAGAGCGTAAAGAATATGTTTAGACTGCTTTACAAAATAAATATTACAAATTAGTTATTTCATATTATTATTTATTTAGCCATGAGGGCTCAGAGATCAATGGCATCGAGCTGTTAGTTTAGTTTGTTGAATTCACACCCATTCATGGGTATCAAACTGTGTCGAATGTAAATGTGGATTGTTCACAATGCTAATCATATCGCAAAATTTTCGCCGTTCGTCACAAAATTGTGCAGTTTTAAATTCCATGATTCGAGTGCATTCTCATCATTTTCTCAACCTCTTCAGATTGGATTCCTCAACCAAATAATAGTTACTAATTACTGAATTATAGCAGAAATATATTTGTTGTAAAATTATTTATTACTTAGTCTTGTGAAATCAATATTAATCATTTTAAATAACAGTAATAATTTCTTTAGTTTAATACGCAATGTTTCTTTGAAAATAAAAGGAAATTTAAGATTTCTAAAATGAAACACTTCAAGAAAACACTTCAATGTTAACTTTCCTTAATTGCAATTCCTATATTTCAGCCAACGATCAGCGATCTAAAATAATAATAATAAAAAAAACTGGTAAACTCGATTATCTCACTGCAGATTAAATTTCAGTGCACCTTATTTAGTAGAATATTATAACGAAACTGTTAGTAGCAAATGAAAGATATTGTGATTAATTAGTTTTCGTTAATTTTATGGTTATTATCCCCTCTGTGCATTGCATGCAAATATTAAAAGTTTCACAATAAAATCTATTTATGCTGTTGAAAAACTATTCTAGATACACTTTTTAAAATATTTAACATAAGATTAAACAGTCTTTTAAGACGACAAGAGAATTTCAAATCGAGAAAATGTTGTGAAAAATATTAATTACTTATTTTAAATTATTCTAGTTCTTTTTAAGATTAAATTATATTTCTAACATTTAAACGTAATTGTATAATAGAGTTAATTGTAAATTTAGACTTAAAAATTCAATAATTGTTAAGAAATGGAATTTGTTTTAGCAAAATATTGTTCATTTTATTTCCTCAAAACATAATTTTTTTACATAATTACTAGATTAATTTTTTCCAGAAAAATCAGTAGCAAGTTAAATTGATGAAAATTTATTTACACTGCATATACATGTTTTAATTATTTTGTTTCGGAAACTTCATCTTAGGAATTGATGTCAGATGTACTATTTATGATTTATTACTTTATGTATTTTTTGTTTATCATAAGATTTGTTTTTAGAGCATTACTTGTTTTTATCAAAGTAAAGCAATCATTTTTAATGTTTGTTTCCTTATTTTGATAAAAGTTGAATGAAAGAAATAATTAAGAAAAATTATTAAATAGATATTTAAATTTAAGGACGCTACATAATATTTTATTAAATATAAAATACCAACATAAACTTGCTAAGAACAAACAGGAAACATTTCAGACATGAAACAACTGAAAATATAATATTTAGAGTAAGTTTCAATACTTATCAATTATACCTTAATACACTAAGAGAAAAGAGTATGGACAAAGCTACGAGAACATGATAAAATTTACAGTATTTCTAGCTCAATGGAAATACCAAAAATCACGGATATTTTTACTGACGAACTTAGTAATGACTTTTGATAAAATAAACAATAAAATATGGTTTTACTAGCATGCTCTTTGGTAGTATATGTGGCAAAATTTGATAGTGCATGTTGCAAAATTAATTTTATCCTGATATCCTGGAGTATGACCATTTATTCGGGTATATTTACGTTTCAGTTTTCATTTTCTTATGTTTTATAACCGTCGTTGAACAGTCAACCCAATTTTTGGGTTTACGACTACTAATGTTCAGCTCTGTATCATTGTAATTTTGAACCTAATTAAGAAGACAAGGGAACTCCTGGTTCAAGTATTGGGAGAAATTTGCCTTCATGGAAGACTTTTTGATGGAACTAACCCGTATTATGCGGTACATGAAGAGGAAAAAAAAGGACCTCCTATGTTTAGCCTAACGGCAAAGGGGCTCTAACCCATGATCCGTCTACCTATGAGGATATTTCACGTCAGCTCTGTGGTCGGTGCAAGCCGGATGCGGATTCGTATCGACTAGCCATCTCTGGGATTCGAACCCGGTTAACCTCATTGGAAGGCGAACGTTCTATCCCCTGAACTATCGTGGCTTACGTTTCAGGTTTGAACTTTTACCAAAAGCAAAATATGTGATAAAACATGCTTCTACACACAATTTATAGGTTCAACTATTCGGACTAATATTGTACCACAGATTTTCCAGTGTAGTCGTTGTTGCTTAGTTTTAACTTTTAATGTTCAAAATACTTCACTTCAACCAAATATTTGTAAATTGTAAATCGTAAATTGTATCATAAGTTCTAAATTCTATTTTCGAAGATTCCTTTTTAAAAGTTTTGACTACTTCTGTCAATTGGTATTTCTCTTAAAACTTTAAATTGCACAAAATAGAATTTTTACGCTCCAAATTCACCAGTCGCATTTTTATTTCCTCTTTAAAATGAAATAAATATTTTAGGGGGTAAAATACAGTTTAACTTACAAACACGAAACACTTGAACAGAAAACATGAATCGGGGAAGAATACTTAAGGAAGACACTGATTCTTCATTGCAATTCATGTAGTGTTTTGGCATTGTTCCAATGACACCTTTCCT